TGAATACCATTTCAGTCCACCCAATAAAAATAAGTAAATAAACAAACAAGAGAAAATACTCTTCAAGCCATAGGTTCCTTACATATCACAAATTCAAGCGGAGAAGAGAATACCTCAATCCAACACCAAACTAGGGGCTTAGCCTGTTGTGCCCCCCCTCCAACTAGTCTTCATTGAGGGTTTTAGTCCCGAAACATACAATATCTATCATTTAGCTCCTAAACTACACGTCACTTGAACAATTGGCCCAAAATTGACGACAGTTGCCATCCAGTCACATTCATCCCGTTTAACCCACACATACTCAACGTCATGTCATCCCCACATTGGAGGAAGATTTGTCCAAACTAGACCAATGGAGGTGCAATATAATTGATTATAATGGATTGGGTAAGTAATTATATACCAATTTTTCTAGGAAACTCTTTTTCTCAAATTATTTTGAATGAAAAATGAGATAATTGATTATCGTTTAAAAATAAGTGATTTTATTTTTATAATTAATTATATATCCAATGTGATTACTTATATTTTTATTATAATCAAGTATACTGTATCATGATTTTCATTCTATGAAATTCAATATACTAGGCCAAGCCTTTTGGTTGGCTTCTTCCCCAAATTCTTTTTCCAAGAGAAGCTTGAACCAGTCAAGTCCTCAAAAACACCAAGTTGAAGGGCACCAAGTTTAGTTTTTTCACCCCTATTGTCCAATTTGGACCATTTTTATTCCAACGTAACAACGACATTATGTTGAGTAAGCATGGGTTACGAATTAATATTGGACATGATTCGCTACCATCACTTTCGGGTCAATAGTTTAAGTGACAAATAGTTCATGAGCTAAATAACAGACATAGCATATTGGGGGGCTAAAACCCTCAATGATGACAACTTGGAGGGGGGCACAGGGGGTTAAGCCAACCAAAATATACCATTAGCTCAAGTAAAACTTACAGATCTTCTATTTCACAGGAAAACTGCTGGTAGCAAGAGTCAAACCTAAACGTGATCGAAATTTCGATACTTACCAAGTGAACTAAACCTTGTGACTAGGACCAACGAAAGATTGTAAATCCGTAAACCACCATCTCTATCTACTCTTTTTGGATGATCTGCACTGCCCTTTTATACTTTTTGCCTAACCTGAAACCACAACTTGTCATTATCAAAAACTTTGGTTGATTCCATGACGATTTCAGGGTCTAAAAATTCAAACCCCAAACCAATAATCCAATCTTCCAATAAAGTTTATTTGATATGCTTTGGCCAAATAATTGAGATACAGCTTTGGTTAGGTAAGTAAGTCTAAATGATGTGGTGGTTAAAACATGAAGGACATTGTCCTTTTCTCAAAACACTTCATACAAATGGACATGGCCATCTCCGGAACGTATCAAAAAGGGGATTATTATCGATACAAGTACCTTCAGCACCAGGCATATCTTGTTTTCAGAAGGGTAGAAAAACTAGAAAGTAAGAACGGGGAAAAATGGGGATTGTGTAACCTTTGTGTTTTTTCAAGAATGTAAACCACATGGATTGAATGTGGTTAATGATGCTTATGAACATCACCTTTAGCGCGTTGAAATACAATATTGAATTGATGCTGAAGAATCATATGAGTTTTCAATCAGAAGAATGGGCACATGCAAGTTAACATGATGCTAGAGTTGGACCGGTATACGCAATCCATCGTAGCTCAGTTGCACATCAAGTCCCTCTGTATCCTTGAGTTTGGAAAGATATTCATTCACCTTTTCATGATCCATCAGATGCATCATACCTCCACAAGTGTAAAAGTAGAATATAATAAGAACGTTGCTCCAATAATTATTTGTTGATGCAAATAGGTAGAGTGATAGATTGTGACATTATGAGATTGTTTGGCAGAGAATGAAGAACACTTTGGGAGAAGGAATTACGTGGAAGAAAAATGCATTGAAACTACAAAAGAAAAGACGTTAAAGAAGTTTTTTAAAGAATACCAAACCTAACCATACCAGTGAATAGTGTTTTTGTAGGCTTTATCTTCCGTACTTCCTCCAAAGCCTGAGAAGAAAACAAATTCAAAATAATTTTAATTGCTCAAGTTTGTTATAAGTGACAAGGATTATAATGTATCTATTACATAAACCGCACCTAGATGTAAATGTACCAAAAAGAAAAGGAGATGAAAAAGACTAACCCTTGGAAGTCCAAAATGTGTTGCTGAAGATCTATCAGGTCTCAGAGCATCCTAATGATATTATTTTCAAAATGGATCAAATAAAATTGGGAGTTAGAAACACAATACTGCATGTTAAAAACAGCATCAGAACAATATTGCATGTGCATGCATGCATCCCTCAATATAGTGAGAATACCATAATGAGGAGTTCACAGTCCTCCAACAGCGGATATGTTTCTTCAGGTATTTCACTGACATCACTGCAAATGTGAGGAGAGGATTACTATGCCATCTGACGGGAACCAAACCATGTAGAAGCAAAACATACTTTTCACAATTTTTAGGAATGAATCAAGAATAACCTGATATAACAAATATCACCAAAACGAAAACCAAGGGAACAATAATCACGTCCATGCCACACTGGTAAAGGGGTAAACTGAAGCACAAATTTGACCATTAATCACAGATTAGCATGTGTCATATGTGTTGAATCAATTTAAGGGAAACAGAAACACAATTTATCATGAAAATTCTGCTGTATTATATCCAGGTAAAAAATAGACACAACAATTACAGTATCTTCAGTTCATGATTGATTTCAGATAAACAAGAAACAAATGACAGTTAACAATGAGGCCGTTATGAGTTTCATATTAAATCCATTGGATGACAACAGTACCTGAAGTAATGTAATCCTTCCACCAACGTACTGTAGCAGTTTGCTTAGATAAGCAACAATAAACTAATACTAATTTTCTTTATCCAATTACTGAATGCTCAATTCCACAACTCTGACAAAATATATACTTGTAAAAGAATAACTAATTGAGTCATAAACCTTTTGCTACACTATAGAATGCACGAGTAGAAGGAGAAAAGATCAAACTTGTTAGACAAGTAGAGGAATACTTTTGCTGAGCAAAAAAGAAAACCAGTAGAGGAATGCAGATATGGCATTAAAGGAATTCCAGTTCATACAGATATTATCTCATCACCTTGATTTCATGTACAATGAATGGCTCTTCACGTATGACATTAAATTGCAAGTCTGAGACTGCAGCACCAGGTGTAATCACACTTGTGTCCACCAAATAATAATGGGTCTTCTTCATCACCTGAAATTGTTCCAACAAGTATCATATGGTTGATCACAAGAGCAGGTGTTATCAGAAATGATCCATGCAAATTGTTCAAGTGATTAAAAAAGGCACCCACTGATCAGTTTGCATGAAGCATACAAGCTTTTTGAAATCCAGCAACCAGCAGTAATCAATGAATGTTTTCTACGATCCAAACAAGTGTGCACATTAAGAGGGATGATAAATTGAAAACAGAGACGGAAAAGGGAGTAATGAACTTTAATTGTACAGGCTAAGCCTTTCAAATCTAATACATTTCAAGCTTCAAATGTAGGTAAAGGAAATAACACCTAGGGTAAACCAAGTAATTGATTAAAAATTTATGCCATCTGCTTTTTCAAATTTTACACCACATGCATAAAATGAATACTAAGTGATAGTGAAAATGAGATGCTCCAAAGCATATACCTGTATGCTTATCTGCATATGTGCTCATATAGATAACTTCTAAATTTTTATATTTTAAGCAATTGAAGCAGAACAGGGGCTCGGACCTCAAAATCACGCTCTGCAACATAGATTGGGATGTAGGGCTGCACATTGTTAGTCCAATCACGTAGATCATCTAGACCTGGGGCAGGAGTAAACATAAGAATACTTCATTCGTGGATCATGGGAACATCTACAATAGAAGAAGAGCAAGCAATAAAAACTTAATGCATTGCCAGGAATAGGTTATGTATTTATAGAATAACAAAAGAAAGTGTTTGTAATCGAGACCTCCAATTGCATCAGCATGCGAATGAGTAATTATAACCGCATCAATTGTTCTTATCCTGACAGAAATGCAACTAGTTATAATGAGGAGAATTCATGAAAATAAACATATTGTAACACAATCTGCAAAAGTACCAATTAACTCTTACTTAGAGACATTGAAAGAACTGCATCAAAATAATGTTAGCATTTCCGGTTGAACCATTTAATGTTAAAAGTATTCCAAAGATGGCAGCATATATACAATCATTCACAGTGGTACATGACTACATGTTAATTCGATATTCTACTACAGGCTTTATCTTAATTCCTGATCTTAATTCTTAAGATGTTCATAATCACTGGAGCATTTTATAACATAGAGATACTATCACACACCAACTTGTCTTTAAAAGCTTAAGATGCAAGCACTCAACAACAAATTTTCAGCATAACAAATATAATTTGAAAAATAAGATATTAAGCAAGAAAGAATAATCGCTACCTAGTCATGGATGCCAAAATTAGAGGCAAGGAACTAGTTGACTTTGCAATTACTACAAAAGAAGTCATTTAAATAGAAAGACAAAAAAGTTTGTAAGGAAAGAATATAGAAGTTTGTTTCAATAGTTCCATTTCCATGTGATGTCCAATCTTTTTGAATGGGTGAAACTAAAAAGGGTGAAATAAAACTTTAAACTGCAAACAAGCAAGATAGAAAATGAATTTCCTTATATCCATAAAGTATAATGAAGATGAAATCTAAATTAACTGCTAAAGTTCACCTATTCTTGAAACAAGGATGTTGGATCCATTCCACCCTAACTGCAAAGGGTGGTCTAAGAGATGGAAAGGAGGACCATATAGTCATTACACCATATAATAAAAAATAGAATAAGTAACCTGTTGTTCATATTCTACCATTAGAATAGTAAATAGTTCTCACGATTATATCATCCCTGTTCCAAAATATCTACCATGAGCACTACATCTACAACTTATCCAGCCACAGTCAAACTCTAAATTGATTAGATTAGATATACCAGATGGAAACTTTGATATCTTAATGGCTTGAACATAAATTCTTATAATTAAGAAAGAGAAATAGAGCAAACACTAACCCAAAGGCAGGAAACCATTGAAGAGCACTGTGGTAGAAAAACCTGAAAAGAAAAATAAGTTCAGAAATGACACCATAACAATATCTAGAATTAATGAAACCAGAAATATCTGAATTTTCTTATATGAAATGCAGACCAGATCAAAAATATTAGTCAGAAATGTATTCTTTCAGAGTCAATGCTGCTTCAAATCAGTTATCATCCATACATAACTTTAAAGTAGAATTCGACCAAATTTTGACAAGTGTAAGACAACCCCTAACTCCCTATTGATGTTGATGCAAGAACAAGATGTAAACATGTACAAAAAACTGAAGTATCTTTCACTTACTTTCCAGCATCTATCAGAATGTTACATCTTCCCAAAGGCCTAGGATAACTAATAAGGATGCTTGTATTCCGTCTCCTATTTTTATTACCTGGTTCCACAGCTTTTGTGCATACCTGCGTGGATCAAGAAGCATTAAGTGTCTTCAACAATTCTGAAATTAAAAAAAAAAAGAAGTAATAAACTAGTTATAGCAGCTCTTTGGTAATACCGGGCACTTCTTTAAAGGATCTGTAAGGCAGCTGACACGAGGAATCCCTTCACTAGTTCCTGTCCCCACGAAAATAATCTCAGATTGTTCTCCAGCATGTCCACTTGCAGAATCTGTAATGCACCGCAAGGTCACCACCAATTACTAAGCTTAAGAACAGTTGTGCAAGCACTGTAAAATCCATTACTGAGTCCATCAAAAAGTTGCTTGCACAAACATCCACAAAAATACTCTTTATTGGTAACAAGTACACTGAAAAATAGCAACTTATGATTATAACACTGCTTTGAAGTACAGTGAACCAAATGAATACTATTACACACTAAGGAAATAAAACCCAAATAAAAAAGATATTCACAAAGCAACTGATACTGAACCACACATTGCAAATTCAATAATACAAAGACTAATCATGAATCATGAAACACCCAAATCAGATAAACATATTCCAATATACAGAAACAAGAAAAAATCAAGAAATGACTGATGCCCAGAAAAGAGAACAATCCATTTTATCAAAATTGGGGGGAAAAGTGGGGGAAAAGTTACTGAAGTGCATACTAGACTGTGATCGAGCTTGAAGAAACGTGTTGAACGGAGAGAACCCATTTCTTGGAAGTGAAATTGAGGAACCGTGAATGCTTATCTGACGTCTGCAAGGTGCGAGAAAGGCTACAGAAGGTGGGGATCGAACAGTTCCCAGAAAGGGGACCATTGACAAAGCCACCACCATCTTTACCCTTTTGGGTTATGTGTTGGAATCAAATGGTTCCTTTTAGTGCAGAAGACGACGGAGGAAAGGCACACAGAAGCTGACCACAATTTACGGAGTCAAACGGAGGTCAACCAACCAGCAACACCGTGCCTTTTTCCGGCGTAGACGTAACTGTATTTCCTTTCCAAGGAATCGTAAAATATTTCAGTTTCATCGGAGTCTGTGTCCTTGGGTTGTGACCTGTGAACAACAGGCCAGAAAATGGGCCTTGTTCAATGTTTCCCCAATTTGGGCTTACATCTAAGCCCAATTTGATATCTACGGCGCAATTTAGGCTTACATTGAACCCAAAATACAACGTGAGTTGTAAAATCATTAATAATGTTTTTTATTTTTTGATTTTGAGTTGCATAAAATAAAGAGATAACCATTTTTTATTTTTTTATTTTTTTATTTTTCTTACTTGTATGTTATGTTATTAGACCTTAGAACTTAGAATTTGTTTGACAAGGCAAGAAAGTTACTTGCTTAAATTTTTCTCTTAGGAATTTGAAAATTTGTTGAAGTAAAATTTAAAAATTAACTTTTAGAGTAGCTTTTAATGAAATTTTGAGAAAAATTATATATTAAACTTTTTTTTAAAACTTACTTAACAGTTACTTTAAAAACCAATTTTTTTAAAAAAATTTCTTCAATAAAATTTTAAATTTATAAGAGAAAAATTTACTTTTAAAATAAATGTTTTTAAAATTTTGCTAAACATTTTTTTGTACTAAACGAAGAAGATTATTGAACCACTTGGTTCAAGTGAGAGATTTTGGATGCCTTAGAGTAACTTACCTTTATACTTTTAATAAGAATATATGAAGATAAGTATAAGAAATTTGTCATTTTTTCTAATTAAGGGCGTAAATTAAAAAAATTTTTGAATTAGGTGATAAATTTTTATTTCCTACTAAATAAGGGTACTTATTTTACATTTTTTATTTTTTTAAAGATTTACTGGATGATACAGATGATGTGTTAAATAGCAATCATATTTAGAATAAGCTTAAGGTGATTGTATCCTTAAATTAAAAAAAGAAAAAAAGAAAAAAGGCAAGGCTTATAAATTTTATGTTGAAAGCTTCCTTAATTTTTAGGTTGAAATATGCATTTAGTTTTTCATCTTAATAAATTTGATGTTTTTAGTCCCTCATTTTACATTATAAAGTTTTTAATCTCTAAATTTAAATGTTTGAAGATTTAGTTCAGGCGTTTGAAGATTTAATCCTTAAACCAACAGAATTCGTTAACTCTCTGTTAAAATGAGAACAAAATATTTACAAAATCAATTTTTAAAGATTAAATGTGTAATAATTTAGTTTTAAAAGTTTAAAAATTAAAAAAAGATAAAAATCATTAGTAGATAACTTTGCCACATATACGAAAACGGTACTAGATATCTGTAATCCAATCGAGTGATTAGTTCAATACAAAGAAAGAAAGTTCAATACAAAGAAAGAACTCTAACTGAGATTAAAGAAAATTTATTTATTATATTCTTCTAAACTTTTAGATTTTCTATCTTAATTTAGTTAAAAAATTTTCTTTAATCACAGTCAGAATTCTTTTTTCAAATTGAGTTAATCACATAATTTGATTAAAAATATCTAATACTATTCTAGTATAGATAAGAAAGCCATCTATAAATTCTTTTTAGTTTTTAAACTTTTTAAACTAAATTGTTACATTTTTAATTTTTGAGAATTAATCATGTAAATATTTTATTTTCACTTTAACAATGGTAAACAAATTCCATTAATTTAGGGAGTAAAAACTTTATAATATAAGATAAAAAATTAAAAATTTTTAAATTTAATAAAATAAAAAACTAAACACATAATTTAAAAATTAGCGGTCGCTCCCACCGGCACAGACCCCTTTTTTCCCTCTATTGCTGTTGAGCAGATTTTATGCTTTTTTTTTTTTTTTTGGCAGTTTCCCACAACTCATTTTTTCCGTCCAACCAAAAAAATTGACTTTTTTTTCCTTTAATAAATCATAGTTCCATATATAGTCAAAGAGCTGACATAGGATATCAAGAAAATTTGTTAAGCACAGCCAGCCCCTATGCTTTTAATTTTCAAATTATATTTCCTTATGAAAGTTGAAAAACCGGATTCGATTCTTCAGACTTCAAACCATCAATTTTTGTCTTTTCATTCATTTTTTCTAATTAATCCTCCCGCCTATTGTACTTGGTTCTTTGTCACCAAACAATATGGTTAACCAAATTTCCAATTCTCCTCCACTTTTGGTGGGCAAAAAATGGCTGCATTTTCCCTATGAGATTCACGAGATGGGACAGCTATTAAAAAAGACTTAAATTTATTAATGAATAAATATT